CTACACCCCGCAACCATCCTGGACGAAGTTGGATTAGAAGCTCGAAGCTGGTGAACGAATTCGGGCTCCTTTGGCATAGGCCTGTTATGTGCTTTGTGAGTCTTACCCTTTACAGTCTAGAGTTGCACCCAAGCCCGTGCTGAAAAAAAGGGTTTAGAGTTTAGAGTTTCAGCCTTCAGCGACCTCCGGCCCAAAGCGATGGAGGACAGGACGCCCAGCTGCCGTCGTTGCCGCAAAGTGGTGGGTAACCTGGGGGCTGCAGCACCACCAGGGGAGCCGCCACACGGCGGCAGATGGCTCGATGTGCGTCAGCTGTTAGATAGTTAGAACACGCTGAAAGAGGACGCTTATTAAAGAAAGTTTCTTGTCAAGCAGACACGGGTGGTTTAGGAGGCTTCCCTGGGCCGGGCATAGCCCAAGCCCAGTTGACTTTGAGGATTCAGCGATGTATGAGTAGGGTTTAGGGGTTTCAGGTTTTAGGGTTTAGGGTCGTTCAGAGTTTTCAGAGGTTGAGGTTTATATTGGTGTGCATAGGGGTCCTAAACAATATTACCGCATGTGCTTCTAGGCTGGTGACGTAGAGAGCCCCACTTCATCCCTGTGCACCAAGGGTCACTTGTCGTTCAAGTCTTGCGCTCTGTGAGCCTTAACAGTAGTGTAGGGGCCTTGATGCTTAGAATAGGGTTTTGGGGTATATTATATTATAAATATGATAAGGACCCCCCCCCCCCAACAAAAAAACAAGAAATAGTATTGGTAATTATTTAGGCCCCCTTTTGTGGCCTCAAAGTTTGAAGAGAAGAATGCCGAGTCCACTCCCTTCAGCCCAGAGCTCTTCGCACGAATGAAACCCACCGCACCGGCAGGGTTGGGGTTTAGGGTTTAGGGTTTAGGGTTTAGTCTTCCGCTTCGGAGCTGCAGAAAGCCGAAGTAAGACTTAGCTACGGGCCGGTTATTCGGCTTGCAGCAACGATGGCAGTAAGATAGGGGCCTAGACAATTACCTATACTATTTTTTGGGGGGGCTTTTTTTTTTCAACTTTATAGTATACTGGACTCCCAAACCCCAAAACCCTATCCTAATTATGAAGGCCCCTACATGATGAAGACTGAGGCATTGGTTTCATTGTCCCACCTGCCGCACAGCGAGCAAGAAATCCCCAGATCTTTGCCGTGGATGCGCCGTCCTGCGCCTTGTCTGCCATGGCTAGAGAGATGTGTCCCCCCAAACCCTAATTCCTAACCCCACTCTCTGAACACCAAAACCTGAGAGCGTACACCCCAAACCCTTAACCCTTCATGATGTTGCAAGATGTTTGTGCGGATGCCTGGCACCACGTCCGAGCCCAGCCCGAGTGAAGAAGGCCTCCTTCGCCAAAAACGCCGATGCGTGGAGCCAGAACGGCCGTAGACTGGAGGGAGCTTGATATATACAATTACCGACACTATTTTGGGGGTTCCTAATTATAATCAATACATATTTTTTTGGGGGGCTCGTTATTATAATCATAGTGTGATATACCCCCAAACCCTAGCTCCTACATTAGGGCCTGAAGTCTGGGCCTGCTGCTGTTTAGGGTTTAGGTATGCGGATGCATGTCTTGGTCTTCTGATATGACTAGCCTGTAGGGACTAAGGAACCTCCTGGCAGCACCTGTGTAAGTAGTCGCAGCAGTGACCTAGCATTGGGAGCATCGGCATGACTACCAGTTTCAGTAGTTTTGTCAGCCTCAGTGTCATCGCGGGTACATGCTTCAACCCTAAACCATAAACCCTAACTTCAGGCACTGTGCTGCAGGGCACGAGCTGGAGTGGCGACTTGAAGCATTCGGCGAGAGCTTCCGTTTTCGATGTGTTTGAACTTTGAGGGGGTTCATGGTGGTCGGGTCGGTAGCATAAACTCCAAGCCCCGTGTCCCAGTTGTGATGTTTTTGACTTTGGGTTAAGCAGTAGACCCGGTACTTTACTCTTGACAATCAGACAAACCTGAAGAAGTACATACAGCCGCCAAACATGCGGATGCCAGCCAGAAATCTATAGAGGCTGCCCTCGAAACCCTAAACCCTAAACCCTAAACCCTAAACCCTAAACCCTAAACCCTAAACCCCAACCCCTAGGAGGCCCTCCAAGAAGAAGCCCTCCGAGAAGCCCAGGATCGGCAGCTTCAAGGGCCTGAAGTCCGTCTGCCAAAGCTGCGGCACCTCCGGACACCTCAAGGCCCTTAGCATAGGGGCCGTAATGGGTTTAGGGTTTAGGGTTTAGGGTTTAGGGTTTGGGGTTTAGGTTTGTGGGTTTTGGGTTTAGTGTAGAGGCCTTAATATTCCCCTACATTTTTTTTGGGGGGGGTCTTACTGTAACTATAGACCCCCCAGGACTCTCTTCTAATTGCTAAGGCCCCTGTACTAGTGACTCCAGAAGCTATTGAAGCAGAAATAGTATAATAGAACTTAACCTTTAAGGTTTAAGGGTTCCTGTACAGGCTCCTCTATGGGACTCCAAGAAGCAGATTGACTTCAGATGTATGTTAGAAGCAGATCTTTTACCTTAAGCTGTAGGGGCTTTTGAGTTTAGGACGCCTTAACCTTTAAGGGGGCTATAATAATTTATTATAATATTACTTTGCAAAGATGCCAGAATTAACCGATCACTCTGCTCTTTGGGAAACTGGTGTTTTTAGAGCTAGGGCTGGTTTGGCTGTTGAGGGTTTGAGGCTGCAGGGTTGTAGGGTATAGGAGTTCTCCAGTTTAAACCAGTCCAGTAACTTAGCCTTTCTGATTAATGTGTGTCTTACTGGGAGTTTTTGGGTGTGTTCCTTGCAGTGGGTCGTATGCCATTGCTCTTAGCGGTCAGCTTCCTCCTCTCTCCTCCGGGGGTTTTCGGGGGAACCCCTTCTTGGACCGTAAAACCCCAGCCCAACATGGCTATCTTAGGGTCTAGGGCCAGGGTTTAGGGTGTTACACATATGAACCAATGCCACCAAAACAGGTGTGTGGTAGATCTTCAGCTTAAGACCCCCACAGCCGTCCAAACCCCAGAAAGCCTGGATCTCTTGTCAAGCCTTTCAAAGCGAAAGGCCCCGGCTTCATTACGCAAACGGGGCACTCCAACCTCTGAACAACAGCAGATTGAGCTTTGATCTCCCTCAACCCTAAACCCTATACTGATCAGGTCTATCACTGCTCCGAGTGCCAAGAGGCGTTTGGGCAGCGAAAGGGTTTCCAAGTCCTCTTAGGAAGTATGAGGTTCCTTTACTTAGTAGCTGAGTGAGTAAACTTTACACTTCTTGGGATTATATGATCCCTTATAGAACTGAAAGTGTACACTTTTGGGGGCTTATGAACTCAGCAACTAAGTTTAGGTTCCTGTAAGAGTTCTGCAAAGGCGCCTGCAATGTTCCGTTTAAGCGTGTTTTTTTTCAGAGGGTGGTTTTGCGGGCTCACTTTGGGGCTCTTTGAGGGTGCCGTAAGGCTGATTGGCCCAGGGCTCGAGAGTCAGGGCATCTAAAATCTGCAAGGCCTCCATCCGCAAGCCCACCAGCAACCGTCAGATATTCTGTCGATGGCCACACCCAGAACATAGAGGCCCGAATGATGAGCAATGTTGCACCCCTTCAGTTCCCATACAGTTGTCTGAGAATGGATTCCAAACTCCTGTTCCATCCTAGACAATATAACCATAACCCACTCCATAAGCAGTAAGAAGAAACAAACATGATGGTGAACAAGCATTCTTCTGCAAACATATTTCCCACCAATACGTTAGTTCTAATAACCCAAAGGGTCCAAGTACCATTATTATTGCGGGTACTTAGTAGGTATTTGGGCTCCCAAAGTATATACTATACTAGTACTTGGACCCTTTGGGTAACACAGAAGAACAAGATCCCGTCTTCCCTGGGCAGGCTCGCGTTGAAGTCATGCAGCTCGGAGCTGAAGCCAACATTAGCTCGGTTCGAGTCGCTGCAAGCGGGGGAAACCCGAAAAGCCTGAGAATTCCCAGAGACTCCAATATCCCTTAATTAAGGAATGTACCTTAAATTATAGTAGGATCCATAATATGATTTAAGGTATATTCCTTAATTAAGGGATATTGGAGTCTCTGGGTTCCCTAAACCCTATAGCCTGAACCTCCTAAAGACCTTTACAAACCTCAACAACCTAAACCCGGAACTCTACAGCCGCAAACCTACTCCAGACCCTTGGAAGCCCAACGCGAAAGCCTGATGCTGGAGCTCATTCCTAGTCATGCGAGAAGGAAACATGCTGGAGCCAGAACACCTGCGAGCCCTAGCGCGAGAAACTTCAACCATACCGGTTGAAACCCGGAGCCTGAACCACTAAACCGTTCAGCCCTGACTATAATTCCTCAACACTCCAAGCCCTCACTGGATGATGGAGATGGGGAAGAGGACGATTTATGGGCTAGGGTTTAGGGTGCAGAGGTCCGGTGCTGGCGATCTACCCGTACATGTGTGAGATTTTTTGCTTTGCCTAAGGACTTTTTAGTGCATGCATGTATTGGAAGTTACCCTAACCCCCCTAAGTACCTACTATATAGGGTACTAGAGCCCCTAGGGCCCTGTATAGTAGCTACCTGGGGGGGTCAGGGCTATTTCTTCCCCAAGCCGCTGCTGGTTTGTTTGGGCGTAGGGCTCGGCTCGGTGGGGTCTGCATTATTTGTGGCGCGGAAGATTGATATTGCTTGAGGTCCTGGTTTCATGTTTTGTGGATGCATCCTTTGTTAGAGGTGAAGGAGTCGCTGTCTGTCCAGAAATCTGTGAGGTAGACCTTCTTGTATTTGTTGGGAGCCAGGATAGCCCCCAAAAGGTAGACCCGGTTCAGGGTTATGGGTTTGGGGCTTCGGTTCTATGTAATGGGCGCAAGTTGATCAGGGTAATCTTGCGAGTTGATGGTAAAGGCTGGTGTTGATCGCCATATTCCGCAGTAAGCACCCCACTGACAGAAACTACGTTAACCAACAAGCAAGCTTCAAGAAGCTGAGGTATCCCACAGGCTTGGCTGCCAAGTCTGATGTGAAATTGGGCGGACGCGCCGGAGATGTCAAGGTTCGGCCAAAGGGTCCTAGTGACCTGCTCTTGGGTTTCATGTCATGGCTTATAATTATAACATGAGGAGCTTCCCGAAGCTCAGGGGTAATATACCAGCATCTAGTATTGAAGACAAAAGCAAGAAAGCAGTTGACAACCGAAAAACACGATCAGTAGCACAACAACTGTGTGTTTACCCAAAAAAGCGTTAAAGTCCTCCCACAGAGTCACTAGAGTTGGGCCTGGGGGGCTTAGTTCTTGGGGTACTTTTGGAGTTTGTTCGGGTCTGAGGAGCCCTTAAGTTGGCGGTTTAGGGTTTAGAGTTTAGGGTTTAGGGACCAGATTCGTGGCCTTTCTGCGAGAGGCACTTCAGAGAGACCTCGTTCAAAAAAAAAGGGCTTCAGGTCATTAGCCGTTCTAGCCAGGAGGGTAGTTTTCTAAAATATAGGTTCCTTTTGGGGGTCCTGTCTAAAAGGGTGCCGTACTATATTGGGGACCTAAAAAGGGACCCTAATTTAGAGAACTACCCAGGAGCTGCTGAAGCTTCCAGCTCGCCAGACGATCCCCTTAAGCATCGGTCCTTTAGACTTCAGGTCGTCCAAAAACGTACACCCGAAACTTGCCCTAAACACAAAATGGGTCCGCTTGGAGGTCATGGCTGTAGCACCGGGTGGTGCCGCTGCCACGGCTGGGGTTGTCGCCGGCCATCGCAGCCGGGCACGAAGAGAACGGATGCTCAGGGTTTGGGGTTTAAACACCAACCGTTCAAAGTGTTCACCTTCTTATATTCTGGTATGTTTCCTAAATCCCCCAAATTTGCCTCCATCCGGCATTGGGGGCAGCACCTGTGTGTTTACTGCGGGAGTCCAGCGCTTCGGGACTTGGGGTTGGGCTTATACCCAACGGTTTAGGGGTTCAGGGGCTTTAGGGCGTGATGTCGAGGGGTAGGTTGGGCTTGGAACCCTACGAAACCCTAATAAACCCTAATCGCCCGGCGTAAAATGATGAAGGGCAGTGGACGTGGAGCATCCCATCTCAACTCTCCCAGTCCGAGTGATCGATTGTAGTCGGACTAGAGGTTTCTCGGATATGTTTTTGGCCAATCTTATTCAATGCAACTTCTCCTTAAGATCCCCGCAAGGTTAACTATTGTGATTGTATCTTATAGTACGATATGCCCCCCAAAAAACCCTACTCTAGCTACAAAGGCCCCTAGATTATGCAGGGATGTGGGATCCTCGTTTTCATCGGGCGATGAGTGCTGTCGTGCAGACGACCACCACATTTTGAGGGTTCAGGTGCTTCTTGTGTCCCCCCAAAAGGGGAGCGGAGCACAGGGGCAGCGAGGATTCCGGCGAGTATACTGGCAAGCGGTAAGCTCAGGCAATTAAAGTAGACGGATCGGACCCAGCTGAAGCAGGTCTGCTGTCTGTGAACGACCATTCACCAGCTGTTGCCTCTGGCGCCATTTTCGACGGCGCTGCCTGGTCGCTTTCAGACTTTTCAGGTCATGCTGTTTGTCCGAAGTCCGCATGTTTCAACCTGAACCCGGATAGAGTGAGTTCAGGGCTTGGGGGTGACGGCCACGATGAGACGATTTGCACCGTGGTTTGAGGATTAAGGGCGAATAGAGTTCGGGCTGGGGTTCAAGGCAAAAGCGTAGGCCCCTAGCCCGAAACCCTGAACAATTTTGCCGGCAATCACAGGCTTTAGATCCTAAATCTTAAACGGGGTTTAGGGTTTCGGGGTTTCGGGTCAGGGGGCTTATGATTCGAGGGTGGCTTGGGTAGCTAAACCCTAAACCCTAAACCCTAAACCCTACCCGTTAGCAATCGAGAAGACGCGTGTCGATAAGCCTTGCCTCCCTGGTGCCAGTGTTTCCCAGAGACTCCAATATCCCTTAATTAAGGACTATATATATATATATATATATATAGATACATACCTATATATATACACCTTAAGTTATAGTAGGCTCCGTAACAGGATTTAAGGTATATTCCTGAATTAAGGGATATTGGAGTCTCTGGGTACCCTGAGTCAAAACACGCAAGGTGAAAGACCAAGCGGTCGCTTGTTTGCAAAGATGCCCACAGGCAGGCACCCTAATTACCCTAAGCCCTAAACCCTATGGGTTTAAGGCTTTGTCTTGAAGTTGCGGCTTCAGGGTTTGAGTTTGAGGTGTAGTGCCCAGGGCAGCGAGGGTTTGTGCGTGACCCTAGGAATCCGAGCCGGAAAGCCTGGACCCCAGTCGGTCAACCCTAGCCCTGGGAAGCAGACTCTGTGGTCACATGCTTGGGGTTTAGGTTGTAGGTTTAGGGTTTAGGAGTCAGGAGGTTGGCTGAAGGGATTCAGGGCTTAGTGCATTGCAGTCCCTGCTCAAAAAAAAGGGTTTAAGGGTTCCGGGCGAGAGAAGCCTGCTGCAAAAAGAGTTTAGAGTTTTTGGGTCCTCGGTAAGAAGTAGTGGCGGCATTCTTCATTGGACCATATCCTGCACCTTCTGGCCAAACCTTTTCCATCAGCCGACGCCCTGCCCCTGCAGTGGTAATCGAATTATTGGTCTAACCTTACTTGCAAGGCCCAGGACGCGGCAGGAAACCTAAGGAGAGGAAGGTTAAATCCTGTACATCTTGGGCGCTCACAACCTCATTTCCACTGCCGAGCCCCTTAATGATTCCAACCCTATTAAGAACTCGTGAGTCCCTAAACCCCAAACTTATAAACCCTAAACCCTGAACCCTAAAACCTAAAGGCCCTAAACCCGAACCTACATCCGAGAGCGAAGGTTTTGCTGGAGTTTATCACTGTTGCCAGTTTCGACCTGACGCTGGAGTCTGCCAAAGCACTTCAGGACCCAGGGAGCTCTGAAAGCTTTTAGGGTTAGGGTTTTAGGGTTTAGGGTTTGGGGTTTAGGGTTTAGGATAGCCAGGCGCGACATGCAAGCCTGATGTAAAAAGGGTTTAGGTTTCAGAGCTTAAGGCCCCTCAGAAGGGTTTAGTGTTGGGATGCAGGGTGTAAGTTTGGTTAGAGTTTTAAGGCTTCAGGGTTCCTAAGGATTTAATGGATAAAGAATCAGGAGAAGGAGAAGAAGAAAGACGACTCCGGCATTTAATTGAAGAAACCAACACCAAAGATTCTGATGATACCTCATGCGATTCCCATATCCCTGAAGTAGAGGGTTTTGGGACACTCCGGGAGTTCCTGCACAGGCGCAGAGAAGGCGCAGACCGAAACCAAGAGCAGCAACAATGTTCCTACTGGCAACAGAAACCCTTTTGACAACAACATGGGTGCCAGCAACATGTACCAGTAACGGACGAAGATGACCGAACATCCTATAAGGGCCTAAACCATGTTTATAAGAAGGAGTCCATCGTCATGGAGACGCGGCACTATGCGCCTCCGCCGCTCGAAACTAAGGTCAAGGCTGTGGATGTGCCCACAGCTGATTATCGAGCGTAGCCATGGGCTTTAAGACTGAGTTTTATCCGCCTGATTGTGATCGGCGATGTGTTAGACGTAAACAAAGGAATCTAGTGTTTTCTCAACGATATTATCATGCTAAAGCAGCTTGCTATCTAATGTACCATAAATACACGGGGACTTGCTGTGAATGTTTAGATAGCAAGAAAATGCAATGTTAAACGAAAAAGTAAATGAGTTACATTAAGAAACGGAAAAGTGAGTTAGGAACATGCGTATCATGTACGCACATTTCATCAGAGTTTATGTAATATGAGTCTATTATGGTTATACAACACTTGAAAATAGACTTGTAAAATCTATGAGGGAACCTTTGCCCACTTTGGGATGAGAATAGCACCTCAGGGAATAACCGGTTATTTCTATACTGGTCTTGGTAATGGGGCAGTAGTGGTGATATAGTTGGTGAGATGTCGGGGGGTATCAGCCTCATCTTCTAATGGGTTGCCTGGTGGTATCATCACCCAAAAGGGCGAGGGTTCTGCTAGCTGAACCTGCCCCAACAGGCCCTAGAGCAGTCTTTTGCCCCTCCCCCCCCCAATCGGGAAGGTATCTACGCACGAGGCTTTCCCAAAGGCTCCATGTACCCATATAGTATGTACTTAGGCCCAAAAGGGGTTCCTACATAGGTACTTTCGGCACGCAAAGCCCCAAACCCCAGGGACGGAATCTGGCTCATTCATGCCAAGCTCTTGGCTAAGGAAGGGCCCCTTCGTCTACGTCACGGAAGTTCGCAGCAGGAGTGTGGACCAGAGCTAGGGGGAGCTAGTTCAACCCACCGCGCCTCATTGAACAGCGAGCCATACCATTTAGGGTTTAGGGCTTGTAAATAAACCCATCACATCTCCTTGAACAGCAAAAACAGCATTTTTTGGGAAGTGTGTTGGGCCTTGACGGGTTGCTCTCCATCTTTTGCATGCGCTCGATCCCTGTACCGAAAACACATAAACCCTACACCATTCAGGGCCCCAAGCCGTACGCTCTCAAAAACTTGGGGGACCCTCGAACCGTTATGGGTGCCCTTCGACAGAAAAAAAGGATTTTTCTGTTTATGGGAATATATGGGGTTGCTAGGACCTTCGAACTGCAAACCTGGTCTTGGGCTTCCTTCTGGGTCTTCAGGTGTGGAGGTGTTGCAGTGCCAGCATCCCCTTTGAGGCACCCTGAATAGGAGTCCTGTCCTTGGTAGTAGACCTTTTCGGCTCCGATCAGGGTTTCTCCTTCCTGGTACGAAGCAGCTCGCAGTTCGTATAATTACCCTGTGTCCCCACCCATAGGCCCTAAAGTATAGTTCCTTTTGGGGGATCATATATAGAATCCTATAAGGTAATCCCAAAAAGGAACTACTATGGGGCCTATGGGTAACCCCACGCACTCCGCCACAAACATGCAAATACTCAAGTTAAGCAAGCCTGGTCTCTGAAGCGAAGGTTCTGGTACGGGTTCCTATCAAGGTTCCTATTTTAAGAGTAGAGGGTGACTCGAGGCTAGGGGTTTTTAACAGGGTTACTCGAAGGCCTTCTTTAACGGTTATGGGGGGCACTCCCTGCCAGAACTCCTAGACTTCACCGCGTTGGTGGGCCTGGAGGTTCAGACTCGCAGCGATCCCGAAGAAGAGCGCCTGGAACAACATAAGTCCTAAATCTTATTTTAGACCCTTCGCGTCGTCCGCCTCGGCCCGGCTGTACTTGAAGCAGATGCATTGTTTTGGAAAGCAACAGGTAGGTCACACAGATGTGGTCTTGAGTGAATGTCTGCATTTGCTTCAGGATGTGTTTTAATGTAATGTATTTGTTTTCATGATGAGGTGGCACATTCCCTGCATTATCTCATAAACGGTACTATGAAGATCGTGTTACACTTCTCGCTGATTTTATAGACAACCTCCTATGTCTTGGAAGGGGAATCGGGCTTTGCAACAAAGAACACGACACCAGCCTGAGAATTCCCAGGCTTTGACATCAACTCCACGAAGAATGAAAGCTAGCCTGCCTTGCCTCGCCGCAGGGAAGAGACGAGGGATCTTCGTGCAGAAAAAATGCCCAGATTGGGGGGGGTGCTCCCGGCAAGCCGAGTCTCAGCCAGTAGAATCTCTAAGACGCAAGGGGCTCCCAACCCGAAAAGGGGGAGGGGGGTGGGTCACTGCAGAGGGGATTAAGAGGTGGAGAAACCGGGAATCCCTGTCACAAACCTCTGACCGCCACGGCCGGAACCTAGACGAGTTTAGATCGTTTGGGTCTGGGGTTTACGGGGCCAACTTCACCCTCCAGGACTCCCAACACCCCCCTCTTCTCCAGGACTGTGCAACAGGACCACAACATAGACCGCGGCTTTCGCCTTCTGTCTGTCAACGGCGTAGAGGCCTGCTTTCCCTAGGGCCTAAACACGAAGCAATAACGTCAATTCCAACCTCGGGCCTCAGAACCAAAAGCCTGGAGCCCTAAACCCGAGCATCACAGTAAGCCCCAAGCACGCCCTAAGAGAAGAAAAGGTTTAGAATGTATTAAACGTGCAAAACATGGAAAACTGTACGTTAGCATAGTACCTCTACGTACCTACCTACCGGCTGACCTACCTACCTACCTACCTACCTACCTACCTACTTACCTACCTACCTACCTACCTACCTACCTACCTACCTACCTACCTACCTACCTACCTATCTGCATACAGTCCTGGACCCTGATGAACCCTAAACCCTATACATCCACGGATGGGCTTCTGGAGAAGTACATATTACTTACAGAAGGTGTATATTGACCACCACCTTTTTGTCTGTAGGTTCTCATCATCAATATGCATGAAACCAGAAAATAGTCAGGTTTCGGTTGCTCATTCTCATTATGAATCCAAACAAGGCAGGTTTCGGCTGCTCAAGGTATACATACCCTAAACCCTATTATAAACCCTAAACCCTAGATAACAGCCGTCTTTGTTGCGCAGGCCACGGAGTTCGCCGAGGATCAACGAGGTGTCCTTGCGGCCATCACCGAGCGCCTCGAGGCGCCCCCGCGGAGTTCCCCTTAAGGGGTTCCTATAAGGGATCTATGGGGTTTCGTTTAGAGTTCCCCTTAACGGGTTCCTATAGGGGATCTATAAGGGGACTATAGGGTTTCGTTTAGAGTTCCCCTTAGGGGGTTCCTATAAGGGATCTATAAGGGGACCATAGGGGTTAGGGCTTAGCATTATGAGGCTGCCGCGAGGTTTACAGAGGACTGTGACTCCAGGCTTAAGGGGTTTCCTGCAAAGTTCAAACGGGCTTTTGTGCTCTAACGCCTTCGGGAGGTAGGCTTTTGGGATTAGCGCTGCAAGGTTTGACTGTATCAGCATAGGGTGAGCCAGGCACTCCAAGTAAAACCACTTAACTGAGGAACATATGCATGATTATATAGTGTTATATCATCTCATTCAAGGTTCATGATGTAAGGTATACTTTGGTCGTTAAATCTCTTGTACCACCGTGCAGTACATCCTTAGGCTTACGCCTGTGTAATTGGTTGCTGTCCGTGTACGGCCTTGGTGTAGTAGCCCATCATTAACTGAGCTGCTAATCTACAGTTGCTACAAGTTTACGGTTACCGCAGCTGTCACACTAGAAAAGATGGAGCAAGGCCCTCACCGCTTCAAATACAATCACTGTTCGGAAACACCCTGATCCCTGTACATGCCTCGTGTGGGCCGCCGAGATTTCTGAACAGCGCTAGTCGTAGTCGTTTCGCGTGACCGCCACCACCGAACACAGCGTTATGAATATCGCAGATTTCCCCTCGGCCATCACCGCTATGGTGTTTCCTAGAGAGTTGCGATAATGTGCACCATGGAGACTTCTTCCAGTCTGAAGCACAGGTTCTGCCTGCCGCATCCTGTCTTTGCCCCCAAACCCTTGGCCCTGAATGACGTTTAAGTTCCCCAAAAGGTATCCCAAAACCCTAAACTAAAGCGAAGACAGGCCTCATCCGTCTAGGCTTCGGCGCAAAAACTTTCCTAGACCTGAAGAAGATCGTTTCCGCACTTCGTCTTCCATAATACAGAAGCCTGGGCTATCTCATCCTCCAGGGCTCCTTATCATCATATTTTGGTGTAGGGTTTAGGGTATTTATACCATTATGTATCCTGCAACGAAATTATCATTGCTATCAGGCCCTTAAGCTTTATATTTTCCTCAGAGTCGCGCACCCTGCCTGCCCTGGCACAGGCTCCCTATGCCCTGCGATTCCGGCAAAATGGCCCCAAGGTGCCCTGTTTAGGGTTTTGGGTTTAGGGTTTGCTGTTGAGGGTCTAGGGTTCACGGTTCAGGGCTTTCCGAGGTCTCCCCCCCAAATGCATGGAGCCCGGCACTCGCTTGGAGGTGAAAGTTGAGAGGAGTAGTAGTAGTAGTAGTAGTAGTAGTAGTAGGAGCGGTTGGAGCAGTAGGAGCAGTAGGAGCAGTAGTAGTAGTAGTAGTAGTAGTAGTAGGAGCAGTAGGAGCAGTAGTAGTAGTAGTAGTAGTAGTAGTAGTAGGATCAGTAGGAGCAGTAGTAGTAGTAGTAGTAGTAGTAGTAGCAGTAGTAGTAGTAGTAGTAGTAGTAGTAGCAGCAGTAGTAGTAGTTGTTGTTGTTGTTGTCCTGGTATGCATTAGTATCTGAGACACATCGTTGTTGATGGTTCTGGGTTTAGGGTTTGAGGGTTTAGGCTTGGGGCTCTAGGAGTTACGGGTTTAGAGGCTTTGATTACCAGCGTACGGTGGTGACGCTGTCGATGTTGTGCTGTTCGTGACAAAAACCGGTGTGGCGATGATGATTTTGGCGGCGGCGCTTGTCGCAGAGGTACTGCTGCTGTTGTTGTTTGTTGCTTCTCGCAGCATGACTTGTCAGATGTGCGAAAATCAGAAGCCACGATGTAATGCCGGTCTTTTTGGGGCAGATTTAGAGCTTACCCGGAGTAGGATGATGCCGGTTGAACGCTGCATGTTGTGTGGTGCGGCGTGTTGGCCTGTGTTCTCCACAGAAAGGACAGAAAGGACGGGGTTCAAGCATGTTCACACCGCACCCTTCATTGGGGTCAGGTTTATTTATGTCTGCATCAGTCTAGATATAGTGGAGATGTGATGTTGAACATGTTGCGCTGAGGCTGTGTGCTTGTTCATGCACACCACAGCAACGGCCCGGAAAAGGTTTGTTGACGGGCAAAAGGCTGCATGTTAGGGTGCTGGCACACTGGGCCCTGCAGTTCTTGTACCACGCCGGCTGTGGATATCTCTGCGATGCTGGGCACAGCCTGCAGCCGCACTATGTGGGAACGGCAAGCTTCTCGTCGAAGCAAGAAAGCGTTGCTACCTATAGCCTCCGTTGTAGGTCCTTTTTGGGTTCAGCCAATTTTGCATTAAGGATCCTCCTAAAAGGTAACGCCCGGCTGACCGGTACCCCACAAATCAACTACAATGGAGAACATAGGCAGTTGTTACGGTCATTATCATCAACGGCAGCGAAGTGGTAGAATGTCGGCTCCCTTTCTCCAGCCGGTCTCAAACTCCATAGGCTCTCATGACGTCGGGAGTGCTATTTCAGGCTAGGTGTTGATGTTGCTTGTGAAAAGCTTCAGAGTCGGATCTTTGGCTTATTGCTTCGAACATCAAAGCAGGTCCTGGCCTAAGGGCCACACAGTCGCAGAATCATGTGGGGGTTTCCAAAAATAGGGAACCCTAATATAGTACCCTAAATAGTAGGATCCTTAATATAAGGACCCCCAAATAAGGTACCCCTTATTTTCGGAAACTCCCATGTAGACTCTGCGGTCTGAAGGCGTTCACTAGTCGTTAGCTCATGCTTGCATTTGTTGTCACAAACCTGCTCGCGGATGTCTTCGATTCCGCGATGACTGAAAGATGCGTGCGCAGTTTACGGCTTTCGAAGAACAGGTTCCGCACCGAGCGAAATGCGCAGAGACCGACTAGATGTCTTTACGCATTCCGTGAAACTCATTACCGGCCCAGAGAGAGAGAGAGAGAGAGAGAGAGAGAGAGGTGTTAACCACCTGAAACCTACTTCAACCTCAACGCCTTTGAATCCTAGGCCCTTCGCATGAGACCAAAAATCCCTGCGTTGATTCTTCGGGGCGTTTGGGAAGATGGGTTTAGGCATTCGAGCTTCAGTGTGGGCCTGGGCCTGAGAAGATATCGGACCCCCGGTCAGGGTTTAGACCCCCGGTCAGGGTTTAGGGTTCATTTCGAGTCCCAGTTGAACCGGATCCTTGTCAGAAGAATCCTGAAGAACAGAACCTCTTTTGCGGTTTTTCGGAAACTCTCAAAGAAAGCTCTTAAACCCCCACATCCGAAGCCTTAAAGTATCAAAGCATCGGTGCAGATCCCTACAGCAACACCCTGAATCCTGTAACACCATGCCTTCAACCCTAGAAGCCCCAAAACAAACGAGTACATGCTCAAAAGGGAACCCCCAAAGATCCCTCATATACATATATACAAACACCTTGTGTATATTATATATATATATATATATATGTGTGTGTGTGTGTGTGTATGTATGTATGTATGTATGTATGCATGCATGCATGCATGCATGCATGCATGTGTAATGTAATGTGTAATGTAACGTGTAATGTAATGTGTAATGTAATGTGTAATGTAATGTGTAATGTAATGTGTAATGTAATGTGTCATGTAATGTGTCATGTAATGTGTCATGTAATGTGTAATGTAATGTGTAATGTAATGTGTCATGTAATGTGTCATGTAATGTGCCATGTAATGTGTAATGTAATGTGCAATGTAATGTGTAATGTAATGTGTAATGTAATGTGTAATGTAATGTGTAATGTAATGTAATGTAATGTAATGTAATGTAATGTGATGTGATGTGATGTGATGTGCTGTGATGTGATGTGATGTGATGTGATGTGATGCGATGTGATGTGATGTGATGAAGTAATGTAATGTAA